CCCAGGCTCAAAACTGAATAGAAACTGCATTCACTGGCAAAAATTCTCATTGGAAAAGAATATGCTCTAGCTACCACTGTTTAGTCTAGACTCTAAACTCCCATCTATAACTATGGTTAAAGATCTAAGAATCACCAAATATTTGAAGGAAACCAAAAGCTTGAAAGAGAATGTGAACTTAATAAAACTTATCTCCAAGAAGAGAGTTACTAGAGCAAGGAAAATAAAATGTAAAGATTTGAGAAACGATTACCTCTACTGATAAAAATGTTGCAATAAAAGAGAAAGTTTACGAAAATTAAGTACATAATTGCCAAAAAAAAAGTTTTAAGGCAAGCTAAATAACTGAAGAGACACAAATGAATATCAAATTAGTGAGCTGGAAGATCAACCTCAAGAATTCTCTCATAAGCGCAATGCAAAATGAGAAGGAGACAGAAAGAATAAGTATGATAGAAAAGGTAAGACATGAAGGTCAGATCTAGAAGTTCCAGATTTTTATCTGCTTTATAGAAGTTACAAAATGGAAAACAAATAAATGGGAGTGGAGAAAAGAATAAACCGAAGCAATCAAATAAATGCTAAAACAGTGTTTCCTTGGAATTCAGAAGATTCGGTGAAAAAAGTCCATCTATTGCCAAGCACAAGTAAAATAAGGACAAAAAGTAAAAACATTTTACCAAAAGTTATAAATACCCAACTAAGAAAATGTTCACTTTCATATCAAATGTATCACTTCCATCAGATTTTTTGTCATCAGACACACCATTCTCAGCCTGTCCGCTACCATAAACTTTACACCTATATATCCATCAACTGTGCCATGTGAAACATAAGTATGAACTCTACAGCTACACTTGCACATCTACAAAAGGTGAAAAGTGAAATTCTGACCTTTTTAAAGGCTTTGTGAAATATACAGTATTGTGTAAAATTTAAAATGCTATAAATACTACTGGTTCTATCTGGTACAGAAAGGAAGTGTTACTGTTGTCCTAGAAAATATGTTTCCATCTGAAAACAAGAAAATCTCATCTCTATGGCAAGCTATTTAAGGGCATTAATTAAAATGCTTCAAGGAAAAAGTAAAACCAAAGATGATCTTTCGTCTAAATAAAACACAAGGCATTTTTAGAATCTAGATTATAACTTCTCTAATAATAGCAAAACAGTATAAACAGACTGTTTTCTGAATCCATCTTCAAATTCCCTAGAATTTAAGTAATATTGTCCCCATTTTACAGAGAAGGTAGCTGATGAGAACATACCACAAGTCAATTTACTAAAATCAGTGTTCCACTTACTAACTCATATAAATACATTTAAAAAGCTAAATTTAAGAATAAAGTTTAATGACAGTGAATTAATCATCCTTCTGGATATAAGGTTTGCTGTCTAGAGCATCACATCCTCTTTGTCCATTCTAAGGCTCATTACCTCATTTGCTGCAGGGCCCTGGCTGGGTTGGAGCCCAGTCGGTCCAATTTGTTAATAAAAGTTAGAAATGGAACGTTGTAGCGTTTCATCTGACGATTGACAGTCATGGTCTGGCACTGTACCCCTCCAACAGCACAGAGAACAAGGACTGCACCATCCAACACTCTCAGGGCCCTTTCAACTTCTATTGTGAAGTCCACATGCCCTGAATAAGATGAAGTATGAGAGGGTCTTAAAGAGCAATCTGAATTTTTAACATATGCACTATTAAAAGTTTTTGTATCTCTGCTCGTCACAAAAGTCTTCTAATTAGAATGTAGATTCCTGAGCTCACCAATACTATTCACCAACCCTTAAGTGGAGGGCCCAGCAAGACCACTTCAAGAAGATACTAGGGCACAGGCACCTTTAGAATCAGCTAGAATATGTAGAAGGCAAGAATCTGCCTACTCACAATTACTTGCACAAAATTTTCAAGAAAACTACGTAAGGATGAAGTGCTCTAGGTCCTAAGTTAGGCTTCTTTAATAGGAATTCAGTGTTATACTTTTGAGTATTTGACACTCAAAAATTAATTGGGTCATAGTAACAGAAAGAACCAAAAGTGCTTTTGCCAAAAGAAGCTGCACTAAAACCAAGAATCCAACTTACCAGGAGTATCTATAATGTTAATATTGACATCTTTCCACATGGTGTAAGTGGCCGCTGACTGAATAGTGATTCCTCTTTGTCTCTCTAGTTCCATGGAATCCATGACAGCACCAACTCCATCTTTACCTTTCACCTAAACACAAGCACAGCAATTCAGACTTTCTCTGTTCCTGCATTCCAAGAAGGAAAGAAAACTTAACTGAAATGGAAACAGTTGCCAGGTGCAGGGGCTCATGCCTATAATCCCAGTACTGTAGGAGACTGAGGCAGGAGGATAATTTGAGCCCAGGAGTTTGAGACCAGCCTGAGCAACAAAGTGAGACCCCGTCTATAAAAACTTAAAAGAACACCAGAACACAGATACTTAAGCAACTTTCAGATAGGCCTGTCAAAGGTCCACTGTTACCACTGTTTTAATCTTTCAGGTTTATAAGCTTTATTAAATAATGGCAACAAAACAATTAAAATCAGGTTCTAATTCATCCAGAATCAACCATGAATATATACCTCATGCATCTGTGCAATTCTGCCAGTGTAGTAAAGGACTCGTTCTGTTAATGTTGTTTTCCCAGAATCAATGTGAGCTGAGATTCCAATATTTCGTATTTTTTCATTAGGAATCACCCCTGATGAAGACCATCGGCAGGCATTCCAATTCACCTGAAAAAAATACGAGAGCTCAATTCTACGCACCTTTTATAAGAGAGAACAACAGAGAATTAAAGGAGTATGGTGGACATTATTCCTCCAAGAAATCTCATTGGATATGAGATAGCTTGAGAAAGGCACCAGGGGAAACGTTTAAGCCTGGAACTCTTGTAATCAGAGGAGAGACTACAAACGACAGAAAAGGCGTATTCTTTTAAATTAATTAACGAATAAATCAAATTTAATTAAAATGGGAGATAATTTTTACTACAGATTTGAAAATACACACTGGGGCAGATAAAATCACAAAGACAGCTCCAAAAAACTTTAATAGAAAATACAAATTTTAGCTTAAATTTAACTTAATTGTTTTCCCTTTCTCCTTTATTGTAGTTCACAGATGACAAATATGTTTGAGAACTTATATGCTCTATGCAGTGGTGCTAATGGCTCCAAAAGATTTACAATTCCCTCGAAACAAAAACAATTCATGAAGTTTGTTTTAACTTTACTCTGGGGGCAGGAGATGGGGATCCCTATTAGATGGAATTAAGATACAATATAAACCTTTCCCTATAGGGCTGCACTTCCACAATGTACAACTATTTATGGGAAAAGAGAGGCAAAAACAAAAACAAACAAAAAACAACCTTAGAAAAGGTGGATAAAATATGAAAGTATTTGAGTGACAGGTACTTTTAGCTGATTAAACCCCAGGGATACCAGAGAGCAAAACAAACAAGTTAACGAGCTAATGTGCAGGCACGGAGGGGCTTTTCAGCACTGACGCGCGACCGCCAGTATTCGGAGCTGCCAGTCAGGAGGACTCAGGGGTGTCACTGCCTTCCATGGCCCAGAAGAGACCACAAGGTCTCGGGAATGGT